AGGGTTTAGGGTTTAGGTTATTAGGGCTTTCGGGCTTTTGGGTCGTTATAAGAGGGGGGTGTTTAGGTTCTTAGAGTTTCGGGCTTTGGGGTCGTTTTAAGAAGATGGGATCGAGGGGTTGAGGATTTTTGGAGGGGTTAGAGGGGTGTGGGGCTCCTGGCCACGGACTTGGAGTTTTGAAGCGGGGAGACGTTAGCAGGGATTCGATCCAGTCTAGGACATTTTTAGGTGGGTAGTTGCCGTTACAGGGGCCTTCTAGAAGGTCTATATACCTTATAAACGCCTTACAGAAGCCCTATATGTCTCCTTTAACTCAGGAACATACCTCAAGGTATCGGGGAAGAGGAGGAGAGGGGGAGGATCCTCAACTTTATTTTTAAGGCGCCTTGCTCGATTAAGGGATCATCCTGTGCTCTTTTGGGTATCGAGGCCTCAGCGTCTGGCCTCAGAGATTATCCATAGGCCCCTAAGTAGTTCCTTTTTGGGAATACCTTATAGGATTGTAAATATACACCACAAACTGGAACTACTTAGGGGCCTATATGTAGGATCTTCCCCTACAGCTGGAATCTTATGCCGAGGAAGGACATCGCTCCAGGCGATGTGCTTGTTGTGGACGCTGCATTTGACCATCGAGGTCCCCCGATGCCGCTGGCAGGGGGTTGGCTCCAGCATCTTGGCAAACGATTCAGCGACTTATCGTGTCTGGCAAGTTTTTACGGCTTTGGGTTGCGAGTGTGGGCGATTTCGGGCCAGAAAGGTTTGCAACATTCTGGATTCCAGGGCTTTGTAAAGCAGGACTCTTGCCAGGCAGATCGATGAGGCCTCCTGACAACTGAAGATTGATTCCTCCACCCTTTTCTTTCCAAGACCCTGGCTAGAAAGCACGGATCCTTTGCTTGCATTTCATAACGTCGACGTCAAAGATCTTTTGGACCTACACTCACCCCATACTCAAAACTCTAAACCCCAACCCCGCGACTATTTGAACACAGTTCGCGATATCAGGGCTGTAAGATCTTCGAGATCCTCAGGTCGGAGAAAAAGGAGTCCAGGTCAAAAGCCCTCAATCCCACACCAACCCCGAACCCAAAAAGCCCCTAAAAATCCCCCCCAAACCCATAATTAAACCCCAAGCCCCAAAAAGTCCAACAGCCTAGACTCCAAAAACTCCTGGGCCTTGAAACTGCAGGCCCTCAACTCCAGAAACCTCGAAGCCCCAAAAACGCCGAGGCATGAAAGCCTCAAGCCGTAACCCAAGGGCCTGCTGGAGTGCTCATGACAGGAATGTAGCGACCATGCCGATAGTAATGTTACCAGTTGCAATCAATACCAGCAGCAGCAGCAGCAGCAGCAGGAGGAGGAGGAGGAGTAGTAGTAGTTGTAGTAGTAGTACGACGAATAGGACTAACCAGCAACAGCAAGAATTGCAATACCAGTGGTCCTGATAGTTTACGATGATTACAAATACATACAACGACCCTCTAAAGCCCCCCATAGCCGTTCACAGATCCGAAAAGCTTCGTCCGGACCTAGAGGTCCTGGTTGGCCGAGTCCGTGGCACACTCGCGGCTCGCGGCAGTGCGCGCCGGCGACGCCGGGGCCCAGTTCCTTGAGCCTGCAGCCGGTTGATTCGTGTAGCGTGGGGCCTCAGTGAGACATTATATTCGTAATCGAGGTGATAGCAATAGCAGTTGTAATGGCTGGCTCGTGCAGTCTATGCTCTGAGTCTGTTCTAAGTCTATTAGAATCATCATGACGTCGCCTTAGTGTCTTTATGTCATTTTGCCGCAATACATCCGAATACCTAACTCTACCGGTTAAGACCCTTATGTATATAGGGTTGAGGGGATGTGAGAGCCGTCAACCTGTGAGCCCCACGCCCTGAACCCGAAACACGCTCGAAATCCTAATCCCTTAGCCCTAAAACCCTTGAAATCCCTGACGAACCGGCATAAGACCCTGACAGAAAGCCTTAGAGGAGTAGAGATCTTGCAAGTCTGCAGAGCAAGGTTTCAGCATGCAGAGACCCTTCGGCTCAGCGGCGCCTCGCCATGATTTCTTTGAGCGGTAGCACGGGGGGTGGGTTCTGAGAATAGGCATCCGCAATTTATGGGCGAATTGCTGGGGCTACTTTTGACGAAAGGATCCCTCTGTTCAAGTTTTGAAAGGCCCTCATTTTCTGGAACTTCCATCTTCGGCATCTCTTCGGCACGTTTTTGTATGGCGAGTTAGCCCTTAGAAACAGGTTTTCTGGCGGGTACCGAGGTTTAGGGCGGCAGCCTTAGGCGAGAAGCCCCGAAAGTGAGTCCACCCCAAAACCTCAACCAGTACTCCTTGAATGCGAAACCTGAAACCCAGAGCCCAAAAGCCCAAAGCCCCCCGCCCCCTACACGCTGAGTTGACCAGCAATCGGTAAAGCCTCGATGTATACCCCGCGTCCAAACACCTCAAAGTCCCAAGGCAGCGAGCCCTCCGGAGAGGCTTTGCAGTGGTACAGCAACTCGGGCTTTGAGTATAGGGCCTTCATGACTTGGATTGGGCTTTGGGGTTATACACCTTAAGCGTGAATCAAAACCCCAAACTTAAGCCCCATCTTCTTAAAATACATCCTTAAAACCCCAAACTTAAGCCTCATCTTCTTAACATACATCCTTAAAGCCCCAAACTTAAGCCCCATATTCTTAAAATACCTCCTGAAAACCCCAAACGTAAGCCCCATATTATTAAAAGTACACCCTTAAGACCCAAAACTTAAGCCCCATACTCTTAAAATACATCCTTCAAGCCCAAAACTGAAGCCCCGTATTCTTAAAAAATACACCCTTAAAGGTAGCCCTTCAGGCCCACAGCCCGAAGTTTTTTCCGAAGAACTCAGGGAGGGCGGCCGAGCAGGGCCACGTGGAGGCGCTGTTTCGCGCTGGGACGTTGCTCCACCGAAGACTGCGGGAGCTCTCCGACAGGAGACAGGGGGGTTTAGGGGTTTAGGGGTT